CAATCTAGAGAAACTTAGCTTCGCAACAACAAAGATAACGCATTCATTTATTATTGCCAATAAATCATCTTAATACTTCTGGAATTTTTCGAGGAAAATAAGTGTTTTGAGATTTACTCGTAATTTTTTAATATAATATTTGAGTTTTATGTATTTTTTGCCTTCTCGCGAAGGGGGGAAAAGAAAGTCGCATGAACAAAAACTGTTTGTTTCTGGTTTTGTTGCTTAATTCTTTTATACATCATTCTAGCTTTATTCTAATATTTGAATGAAAATAGAACGATTAGATATTTTCTATCTTTAAATCATATAAATTTTGTGCATTAGGAGTTATAATATGAAACGAAATATATATTAACTGTTATATAATTAGTGGATTTATAACATTTAACTTGTTTCCGTTATATATTTATCTATAAGTTACTGTTATGGTAATTATAATACTGTTAAGTGAATCTTGCGCCAGAGTGTCGCTATGGTAACAAATACTAGAGTGAATTTTAAAGAGTGCATTATTCTATTGTGATTTATTGCTGTCGGCGAAGTAGATTTAATTCAACATAAGTTTAAATAAATGCAGAAAAATGCATAATTTAATATTCTATACATGGAATCATTGAGTACACATCGATTTTTTTAAAAGCTCGCAAAGACAGCTTTAGCTTTTTTTTTGACAAAAAGTTAAAACATTTAAAGCTGAAAAATGGCAATGACAACTTTTTACTTCCTTGTACGAAGTAAAAAGGAAGTATTGTAATCGCGAAAAGTTTCAGGCAGCATATTTCAACGAAAATATCCATTTTGACCGCTATCGTGTTGAATGCAATTTAACGATGTTTTTGCGTGATATCTATACGTAAGGACAGAATAAAATACCCTTTTCCTTCAAAAAAATTATAAAACTGCTTTAAAATGAATTCTGAAGAGAATTTTTCGTGGCGTATGTATGAACGTACGTACGTATCTTGCATAACTCAAAAACGAGTAACCTCAGAACGTCAAAATTTTGTATATAGGACTGCTATAACATGTAGATGTGCACCTCGTATTTTGGTTGCAATCGGCCGCACCAAACGTATATAAATATATTTAACTATAACACTCTGTTACCCGGCTCAGTGATCTCAGTTTCTTTACTCTTATATGTTTGTAAACTGTACATTTTTTGCTTTAAAAATGATTGAATTATGTTGTTTTTATCTTCCGGTTAAGGTTTTTATGCCTTTAGTAAATCTGTATGCAATATTTTAGAATTATCAACAATTTTAAAGTTGTTTAAGTGCCGCTAAGCCTTTTTTTATGGCGGCCATTGATTGTTTACATTTGAAACAGCAGACTAGTGGATTTGTTGCCAATCTAGAAAAACTTAGCTTCGCAACAACAAAGATAACGCATTCATTTATTATTGCCAATTAAATCATGCTTAATTCTTTCTGGAATTTTTTCGAGGAAATAAGTGTTTAATTTTACTTCGTAATTTTTAATATAGATATTTTGAGTTTTTATGTATTTTTGCCTTCTCGCGAAGTGAGAAAAGAATTAATTAAATGAGAAATACTCAATCGTCTGTGAAAAAACTGTTTCTTTTTTGTTTGTTTGCTTAATTTCTTTATACATCATTCTAGCTTTATTATAGTATTTGAATAGAACATGTGGCAACGATTAGATAATTCTATTCTTTAAATGATATAAATTTTGTGGCATTATGAGTTACAATATGAACGAAATATATAAGTTAACTGTTATATATTATTGGATTATATACAGTTAACTTAGTTCCGTTATAATTATTATATAAGTTAACTGTCATAAATTATTAATACTGTTAAGTGAATCTAGCGCCAGAGTGTCGCTATGGTAAACAAATACTAGAGTGAATTTTAAAGAATGCATTTATTCTATTGTGGTTTATGCGCTGTCGGCGAAGTAGATTTAATTCAATCCAATAAGTTTAAATGAAATGCAAGAAAAAATGCGTATAATTTAATATTCCGTACAAGGAAGTCATGTGGTGTACACATCAAATTTTTTTCCATATAAAAGATATCTACATGAGACCAAATAATATTGCATTTCTATTATGATCATTTAGCCTACCAATGGATCTGTGTCTAATTTAATGGAATGTAATAACTGACATGGATGTATTCAAGAAGTGTCTCTTTAAGTTGCACGCTTTATGCGAAAAAGTGCTGTTTTGCAAACATACTTTAAAAAAAAAAAAAAAAAAAAAAAAGGATTTAGCCAGCAGGAAATATTTCTGGACAGCTAGAATTTTTTTTTTTTTTTTTTTTTTTTTTTTTTTTTTTTTTTTTTTTTTTTTTAGGCATAATTTAAAAAAGTCAATTTTAAATATAGTTTCTTCATTGGTATTTAAATATAACATTATAGAATAGATCTATTAGGTTTTTTTCGGATCAGAACAAACGAAAATTCAGTTATGCCCTCGCCGGGATTCCTATAATGGAGCTTCTGACAGCTAGCCGGATAGGTCATCAATTACTACAATGAGGAAGATTAAAATTTATTATGTTATCTACCCACTCAAAGGTGTTTGGGAGAGGTGGAAGACACCCAGTCAGCCTAGCTCAGATTGTGAAGAATTATCATCCATCACATTTTTAGTCAGACGCCAGTATAGAGCTATAATATTTTTTCGGAGCAAGAAATGTGGGAAAACAACTATGTTCTTCCCACGATTCGAAGTGCGGATCTTCCGATTCCTAAGAGGACGTGCTACCACTCACAGCACGAATTCACGTGACGGGGCTCCTGAAAATTCCTATTAACTTCATACATTCATTCTAGTTACAAGTTCATAGGTAAATATGATGTCAGCTGAGAACGGCGTAGAAATACATAACATATTAGGTGGCGTTCCCACAAATATACTGAAGTGCCACTGAATCTTGAAATATATTATTTCGAATGCTTTCATTTCTTGAAGTAATATTCATTAGTTGTCACTGACCTTAAAGACCCACAATCAGGTTAGGTCAACAATTTTATCCTAAAAAATCATCCAACCAGATCTAATTCTCAAAGCTCATGAACTCATCATTTCATTTGTTTTTCGATTATTTGACAGGGGCCGCATCAGCAGACTCTGATGTCCGCATGGAGCTTGCTACCTGTCGGTTAGTTTGCCCTTGTATATTTCATAGTAATCTACATGCTTCTTGTGAAGAAATGGCTGCAAAATATGGATGATCTTTGATTTTGAATCATTTGGAAGAAACTGAAATATACATCAAATTTTCACACAACAATTTTTTTAATTCAAAAAGTCTACAATTTTCTTAATTACATCCGTTAAATAATATGAAATATCCAGGTTTAAATTTCAACCATAAATTTTTCAGATTAAAAAAAAATAGGAGCTGTAATTCCAAATGTATTCGCTACAATTCATACATCATGACCAAAACTGGCGTATAATTTTTTCCATCCTCCTTTATTTTTGTCTTAAATGACTTGGACTAACTAACTGGAAAGAAATTACTTTTTTTAATAGGAAGAAAACGTGATTTTTATATCAAAAATGCTAAATGTCGTATCTCATTTTTAATCTGTCACAGGTTTGAGGAGGATCAAAGGTTACTTTGGCGCGACAAGGTTACATTCCGACACATTTACACATCTGATAGCATTATAATTAGCTAGTTTGCACACTTGTTTTCCCTTTTTACACTCTCTCAATCAACATAGAAGAAAAAATTACGTTTGCCCCTTTGACCCTCTCGTGTGGTATGAAAAGAATTAAAGCAGCTCCCAAAGGTATAAAAGCAAGGGAAACTCTCACAATTCATTCTCATCCTCAACAAGAAGACTAAAGGTAAGACAGTTTTTCTCATTATTTTTAAACAGCAGCCTTAGAGTATCCTAACTCGAGAATAAGCCTTTTTAAAGTGTACTAACTTCAAAATCTCTCTTGTCCCTATGCTTCAGCAACGCTCAAGCTCCAACACAGTTAAGACTTGGATCTCAGGATTTTTGTTTCGAATAATTTTACTGAACATCGTATTTAATGTTCTAAAATAGCACTGCAGTTTTAGTATGTAGGATCCAGTTAGCATGTGTACACACTGTATGTTTTGAAAGATTTTTTCGTTTGTAATACATTGCCATTTTGCTTTTACGATTAGGATTTTACCTTTACTTTATTTACCCCTGTTACCTATTAGCAATTAATGGAAAACATTATAAATAATTATGCAGACTATGTCATAGTAAATTCTACTTAAATTCCACGATGTACCATTATGAGTTACAAGGATGGGTTTGCAAGCGAAGAGAAGTGGTAATAACTTACTCTAATTATTATATAAAAAGCAATTTTGACCAACAAAACCGCATAGTACTTATTTAGAATGATTTAGTTTGAACAAAACCGCAACTGCTATAAATACAACTGCTGTCAACACGAAAATTATAGCAACAAACAACAGCGCGATCGCGCTTCTACGCATTTTTGGCGTAACACAAGAGAAGCGCTTCGCCACACACAGACGGTTAATTGATGTGCTTCTAAACACAAATTCTATTAAAATTATTAACACACACCAATCTCTCGATATCAGAGCATATTCAGAATATTGCAAAATTAAAAACATATGAAACAATATTCCTTTTGTTCACATACAGAACAGAAATTTGTTTCTATATTATTATTGTTGACTACTTTACCACATATAAATTTACTTCGAAATTTCAGTACTTTACACTTAAGCTAGCATGTTAATGAATGGCATTTCATCTTTGTAACCGAATTTCTAATACCTTAACTAAAGAAATCTGATAACTCTATTTCAAATTGTTTTAGGTTCCTATAGAACTAAACTGCTATTTCAAAAGAATATTCCTTCAAAATTATCAATTCTTTAATATTAATATGTCTTATTTCAAAGATAATAATAATAATAAAGTAGTTACAACCAATCTGCTTCTGTCTCTTTAAAATGAAGTTAACTTTATTCTATACATTTGTAATGTAACGATTTGTTTCTGTAAAGATTTGTTTCACAGTTTTACAGAGTAAAAAAGTAATTCACAGCAGGTAATTACTTCAGATGCCCGTGCTACTCAAGACTTTGAACGGTACTCCTAGAAATTGAAACATATGGGGGGGGGCAGCGTTTTATTGTATTTCACTCTATAGAATCAAGCATACAGAACTTACTAAATACTAACATTACATCTAACATCTTTTAAATTCTAAGTAAACCAAATTTTGCTTTGATCTATTTACAGTAAAGTTAATCATGTTACTGAGGAAATCTGCTCTTTATTAACTTGTTTTTTAAAACATTTGTGAAGGTTACAAAAATAAATTCATTAGATTTGTCAAATATTTTTCAAAACAAATTAAATTTTAGCATGATAAGAAATTAAACATTTTTAAACTTAATTAATAAATTACGTAAAATATTAGCAAATAAATCATGTTATCTTCGATTTCAGTACATTCTTTGGCCGTTACAGCTTTTCCATTTCTAGACAAAAGGCATAATTATGAAGTTCCTTATTTTAAGTAAGTTAATTTTTCATATATTATCATTTTTTTAATTTACAATGTATAAGATACTAATATAGATTCAAAATTATTTTTCAATAAATTAATCGTCCAGTTTTTTTTCAGGTGTTATGCTTCTAGCTGCAGCATACACAACAGCAAAGGTAAATAGAACTCAACATACAGTTTAAATATAATGCAAAATACAATTAACAGTATATAACCATAAATTTAATAACATGTATATGACTATATATATATTTAAATTTCATATATGTAATTCGTTTTCAGTTACATGATTAAAACATATACATTCATACATATATTTTAAGCATATAACTGAAAACATATTCGGTTCAGATATAGGCTAAACCAATGGAATATTTTTATTTAGATTTGATGATTTTTAAACCAAAAAATGATAAATATCAGAACTTGAATAGAAGTTTTTATATATATATCTATATATTAAATAAACCTAAATACTAAAAGCTATAAAAGGCTGACCGTATTCCCTCCTCGTCTAAACATTAAGAACTTTCACGGATTGTTCCATTTTCTGATAATTAACAAACAACTGCATACAGTGTAATGAATTTTTAAAAATGAATATTTTTACCGTAGCTGAACTACGTGGAATGATTATAACTATGCAATGTATCTGAAATTTATGTAATAGTTCCCAGAAAAAAATTAATAACATTTTCAAGAATGAAATTTTTTTAATAGTTTCTCAGCCAAGTCTCGTAGAGAAACTGTATTTTAGAACACACGAGTTCGATATATGGGTGTGCGTTTGTGCTCAAAGATAAAGGCTGAAAGTTATGTATTTCTAAAATAAGAATAATAAAATAATATAGCTCATAGTTGCATTAACGAATCTAAGCTTCGGCTTATTATTCTGACCCTTCATAAGAAATTTTATTTCATAATTCTTCTAAGACAAGAAAAAAAAGTATTAATCAGTAAGATATTAAGTTACAGTTTATCTTACTATAAATTAATGTTATAATTAAAAGTCAACACTGAAGATCGCGTAATACAAATGGAAAGCAGAAAGTTTTAACAATATGGTTACAAAACTATTTTTTTTTTTTTTTTTTTTTCCATTTCTAATGAATGCGTAAGACTTAAATGATTTCTTAAGAAAAAAATAAAATATGGTTCAGATTTTGAAAGGATATCAGCTGAGAAATTATTATTTTTCAGTTATTTATTACAATTTCCTACAAAAATTACAAAACATACAGCTTTGTTATTGCATATCATTATTTAGTTATGATTTTCTTGCAAAGTAAAACAGCTTCTTTTTCAGAGAGCAAAACGTGAGGCATACGCTCTCCCTGATGGTGCTGACCTTTTAGTAGGACCAATTAAAACAACATTCTATTGCTTCAATGATGGCTATTATGCCGATATAGACAACAACTGCCAAATCTTTCACGTCTGCCATTCTATTGAGACTGAAGATGGTTCAAAAGAGACTCAGCAATGGTCTTTCATCTGTGGCAACCAGACCATCTTCAACCAACTCACATTAAGTTGCGCTGATCCCGAAGAGGCTGTACCCTGTCCGGACGCTCCAACCTTCTACAGCATCAATGAGAGGATTAATGCTGAAGATCCCAACCTCTACTTCTTGACCGAAGAAGACATAGTAAAAGCAGAAGCTTTGCTATCCAAGAACAGGAATTAAGGAAATTATGGTATTTTATGGCAGACCATAGCAACAGACGAACGGACTGTACTTTGGACTTGAGTAAAGAATGTTTTAAAAGCAGAGTCATCTGGTGTCATTCGAAAAGATGCGGTGAATGTTTTTACAGCCATTTTCAGGAACTTCTTGGGAATATTTCATTCTTTTCCATTACTTGGAACTTTCATACTTCGCATAAGTTTAGCTCTTCCGTACTAAATATTGGTTTGTTCTATGTTTAATCTATTTGTTAGGTACAGCTTAGCTTTATATGTCAGTTTTTAAGAAGAAAATTTCTTTGTGCTTCAATCTTATTTCCGAAACTGTTCGTGATGGTATGTAGATGATTTTGGGAATTTTTTAACTCTTTCCTTTATACTAGTTCTTTAGGGTACATTGAATTGCAAGTACTTTTGCTTACTTACGATCGAAATTGATTCAGAATTTAAATTATGGGAGTATTATAAAGTTTTTTTGTTTACAACACTTTTTTGCCACTTATTTATATGAATTAGAGAAAATTATCTTATTGCTATGTATTGCAAATGTTGAATGCTATATGTGTTGTATGAGGTGAAGGTGCAACAACAAGATTATTTAGATTGTTATATTTGCATAAAATTGCACTTGTGGTAACTGAATATTTTTGCCACAGCTTTCATCGTATGTTGTAATCTATAAATAAAACCAATTTTGCAATTTATACTTGTGTCTGTTTAATATTTTAAGTATTAAACTGTAGTCAAATTTGCATTACATTACTTAATCTTCATAAACTTTCATAGAAAAGGAAATGTTTTGTACAAATGATACACGAGAAAATCTACCGTAGAAATGGAGGATTAAATAAAGAACTTTCTTTCAATAACTTAGTTTTTAAATTGTCCTCAAATGCATTTTACTTACTTTTTTACAAGTTAAAAAAATCTTATTTATCCATATTATACTATTCATTATGTTTGAATCTCATAATACCAGCTATGACCAAAATCCGGCTCGGGAACCGCAGGTGGTAATGCAGTTCGCTTGCTAGCAATAGTTTTATTTTTTTAAATGTTAATACATTTTGAAAAATGATTCGTGCAAAGACACGCTTCTTTATCAATTAGTAATTTAATTTCTTAAACACATGTATAATATTTTATTCGATTTCAAACTGTCCGTTGCTCACCAGTTCTTCAGAGTAAGCAAAATGGCAAATAATTCCGTTTCTGAAGTATTTGAGAGTTTTTGGGAAGCATTTGAGGTTTGATGGACTCACGGTGTAAACTCTGTGGTGGGTGAGATTTAATATCTCCCCTCGCACTTGGTCAGCAGACATGTCACAATCTTCCGACGTAGGGCAGCATATTAGAATTCAATATCTTCATTCCTAAACAAGTTAGAGGGTTTTTGTGCACAGTTTTTGCAACAAAACTCTACAATCTTTTCTTTTTTTTTTTTTTTAATGGCTGCAACTCTTTCTTAACGACTCTGTTGTGGACGCTATGCTCAGTCAATACAGGGGATAATTTAATAAGGTAAATGATAATTCCAGAATGAATTAAGCATATTTTAATTTACAATATTAAAAGATGATGCAAGGGTTAGAATATCAAAGCGAACTTGTTTCAAGTTTTTCTTGTTGCCAATCTGGAGAAACTAAAGTTCGCAACAATAAAGCTAATATTACACGTAGAGGAATCTGCTACAATTTCTTGATAATTTAAGGCAAAGATTAGAAGGTATTTTCTTCCTCCTTTCGTGGTGTAACTGGACAGCACGTCCGACTAGCAATCGCGAGCTCCGGTGTCCTAATCCCGGCGAGAGCGTTGCACGTTTTTCACGTCTTCTGCATCGGTAAATCCAGTAACTCTACCAGTTTGTCATTTACTTCAACGACTATGCACATTAAAATTTTGGAGATCGTTGAAACGACGGACCTTCATTGCATTGACCTCGATTTCAAATCTTATTCAAATTTTCAGTTTCGTCAGATTGTTTGAGACAGAAATCTACCTTCATCATCAAAGTGTTCAGTTACCATTACCATTAACCGGTAAGTAACCAAACAGGCATGGAAGTTTCTTTTCTACAACTACAAAGCTTTTTCTCAAGACATAATGCATAGGTACAGGTGAAATCGCGCTGCTTGAGCTATTCTTTAGGATATTGCTCGAAAATGTTTTCTTTCTTTACCAGTATTATACTTCCTTTATCTATTGATACTTCTGGCTTTCGACGGTGATGTATGTCTGCTACGAAACACATTAACATTCTTTGTGAAAATGGGAAGCGAAACAGAAGACTGTACTAGTACCCACTGTCTGACTACCACAAAATTAAACGTAATTTACTCAAAACTTCTATTGGAGTTTTGCTATTTAAGCTTTCACTTTTGGCTTGGTTTGGTTTGTTTCATAATGGCAAAGCACGTGACTTTCATTTTTGAAATGCAATCTTTTAAGGTTTTCTATTGTTATAGTACTCTAAACATCAGCACACTCGATTCCAAACATTCGTCATTTCAGAATGCTATAAGACCTCAAGCGGATACTTGCTTTTGTCTAAAACTTCAAAATAATACAAATGTTTGTAGCTTGTCCTCCCATTAAGGATTACTAGAAGTTGATACAAAATTTCTTGTATGGTATGCGAAGCGTTCTATCGTAATTCATTGGAAGGCTTGTAGCAGCAGCTGGTTCAACTTCAAATACGAGCTTGTAGCTTATACCAAAAGGCAGGGCAGAACTTACGTAAGAGTACTGCCTTAAATTACGTAGGAGGAAAAAAGGAAATATAGAAAAACGAATTATAGATATCATGTACAAACAGCGGAATTCTTAATTCTTCAACTTACATGCAGCATTCGTAATATTTAATTATACCAAACATCTTCCCCCTTGTTTACTCCACATCTAAAAATTTCTTAAAAGCATCATTGAAAATTTTAAGAACGCTTTGAAGCGTGGTAAATTCCAGAATAATCTCAGTAACATCGGCATCTGATATACAGTGCGAACATGTAGAGTACTTTACATCAAACTTTCCATAATATGTTAGAAAATGTTATCCATCAGTTAAATTTCGATTCAAGGTCCAATTCTGAATTTCCTCGAATTTGAATCCTAATTCTGAAAAAACTTGAATTTTTCGGGTCTCAAATTGTCGAAACATTCTATCAATAATAAGAAGTTGGATAAAGAAGGGAACTTTTATTAAAAATAAATAAACTAATAATAATTATTATTATAAATATATTTTCTAAACTAAACATATAAGTGGGTATTCGGAAACTAAGTACCGTTTCATTCTAGCGCCGTCGCAACGCTGTGGTAGGCCTCCCGCGCATGCGCACTAGTCTTTCTTGTTCACTGACTTTCAATTGTCGCCATTTTGGTTGCTCTATGTTGTGTTTGTCAGTTTGCTGTGCACATTCAAATGTTTAAGACAATTAGTTCTCCCCCCGCTGACTGTGAAATTCGTGCCGTGATTAAATTTTTGAACGCGAGGAATGTTAAACCGGCCGAAAATTTATCGTCAAGTGACAGAAGTTTACGGTGAATACGCGATAAGTGATGGAATGGGTGGAAAGTGGGTAAGAATGTTTAATGCAGGTCGAACAAATGTCCACTCCGAGCAGCCTTCTGTTGTCACCGATGATTTGGTAAGGAAAGTTGATGAAGCAATTCATGAGAACAGACGCTTCACAATGACAACTCTTTCAGAGGCATTTCCACAAATTCACGTACTGTTTTGTTCAAAAGTGTGTCTGACCGCTTGAATTATCGCAAACTGTGTTCCCGTGGGTTCCAAAAATGCTCACTGATGTTTCAAAACAAAGCGACTTGGTAGTGCCCTGACATTTCTCACACGCGGTTACAGTGATAAGGGAGAAAACTTTTTAAACCAAATTGTGACAGGTGATGAATTGGGTGTGTCATTTCACACCAGAATCGAAACACAATCGATGGAGTGGAGACACACTCATTCTCCGAAAATACAAAAGTTCAAAGTGACAATGTCATCACAAAAATCATGTGCACTGTCTTCTGGGATAGGAAAGGCGTTTGCTTACTGAATTTCTTCCCAGGGTGAAACCATTAATGCGACACGTATTGTGAGACTTTAACAAAACTAAGCGTGCCATTCAAAACAAACGAGAGGAATGCTCAGTAAAGGAATTGTGTTGCTCTATGACAATGCTCGGCCCCATACTGCTGGTGTCACTGAATTGTTAATTCGACAGTTTCAATTGGAGCAGTTCGATCACCCGTCCGTACAGCCCGGAACTTGGCGCCAAAAACTGACTACCACTTGTTCCTGCAATGAAGCGCGAGCTGGTGGCAAGCGCTTTGGATCTGACGATGACACGAAAATGCTGCGGAGTCGTGGTTATCGAAACTGGCGGGAAGTTTCTTTGACGATGGTATACAAAAACTGGTCACCCGCTATATGACAGTGTTTGATCATTGGCGGAAACTATGTTGAAAAATAGTTTAAGACATGTATTTTCACGTAAAAATAAAATTGGATTCGAAAAAATTGTTTTACTATTTTTTTTTTCAAAACGGTACTTAGTTTCCGAATACGCTACGTATTTATCAACATGACAAAATTTATTAAAGGAAGTGCAGAATTAAACTCTTGAATCTTGAGGTTCATTTTCTTAAGCATATTTCAGTAATACATTAAATTTCAATTAATCCTTTTCGGCACGCTACCTTTTAAAGTTGGAGTTAAAAAAAAAGTAGGAGTCTAATTAGGCCTAGAGGAGTACACAAGTAAAATTTTGTGAAGATAGCACTTATCGTTTTAATTATGTGGGTGTGCCCAAAGTGGGCACCTTCGAAAAGAATGCTGAAACGAGCATTGTTGTCAATGAACTGACCGATGAAATGCGGAGAAACAAAGAATACAGACTCTCAGTTGTCCTAGATTATCGGTGAGCCCGGTCACACTTAGGGTTCGCCGTTTGATTTTAGGAAAGATAATGAAATACTTTTGAGATTCGCAGTAATTTTTTTCATTTTTTTCAAGATTTCAAGGTAAAAATTTAAAACTAATATATAATTAGGAGATTAGCATACAGCCAAAAAAATAACATAGAAATTTCTTTCCAAATAATTCCTTTTATACCCTAAAAAAAATCTGGGAGATTTCTTTGAAAAATGAGGATCTTAAAAAACTAAACATGGCTAAAATATATGGACTGGTTTGTGTTGAGCTGCCATCAGCTATAAATAAAGAAGGTTCAGAGTAACCTATAGTAACTGATAAATCCTTTTCCATTCAATTTTTCTGTGCGTACAGAAGGAACTTTTTAGATGTGTCCAGACCGGACACACTGTGCCGCAAAGGGCTAATAGTTCAAAATTCAGCAAATATGACCGAATCGTACGGAACTTAGTTGTTTATTAGACGCCTCTAAAACTGCATTAATTTCACTCTTTTTATTTATTTATTTATTTATTTTTTTTAGTGAATGCTTCTACTGAGTGTCAAGAAAGCTAATCTTTCCAGCCTTTGGAGTGAGTAAAAAATGTTAGGCTAGATTCTTAATTTTTTTTTCAATTCATAAATCCTTTTTATGATAGAGATTTTTCGCAACCGCAGCTATCTCTACATATAATAAAAGAGTCAGTCTGCGTGTCTTTCGTTCGTGCTGCGCGTAAGCTAATAGTATTGTTGCGTACGTACTGGTTCGTTACGAAATGAATGCAC